GCCTGGCCCGAGCTGACCCGGATCGGGCCAGCCCAAGCTAACCATGCAGCCGTATCCCTCTACTCAGGCATATTAGAGGACTCTCTGATGTGCCTGAGCAGAAAGCCGCATCTGCTGCGGCTGCAGTCGTCAGTCTCTCTGACCCACTGAGAGCCTGCAATGACCACCTAAGAGGTACTGTGCAGTCATTCAATCTTAAGGGCACCCCAAAACGCATTTGCCAATGCTCATTGTAGTGAGCCAAAACACACATTACCGTAGTACCATGCCTTTTAGTGCAGCATGTTTTTAAAATAAAAGGTGCGCGCACTTCTTTGGTGCAAGTGTTGTGCACTGGGCAGCCCACTGAAATGAAAAGTCTGCCCAAAGACACCACACCTTAACAAGCGTAATACGGCATGTTGGCGTGCATGCTGCCACACATACACAGGCACAGGGCTAAAGATGTTGGAGATTTGGCATTGCTGTCAAATAAACCTGAATCCCTAAAGCTAAACTCGAGCCAAAGAATCTTTTATTCAATTATGCCCTGTAATAGCTGCAAATGAATAAATCCACTTTGTGTACGCCAGTTATTGCCTTGTAAAAGCAGTAGTGACATCATCATTATGCTGTGCATAGCCTGTGTAGAGAACAGAGCTGTGGGAGGGACCCAGCAGGCCCCACCCACTATAGGCTGCCTGCAGAAAACTACAGGAGGGGCAGATACAAGACCAGTCACCCTGCAGAAGAGGAGAGAGCTGGAGTAACTGGTCTATATTATAGGAAAGCCTGGAAAGAGGCAACATTGCACACCGGATTACTGCACAGATCTGGAAGAAATATACAAGCACACCAAGTAAGAATACACATCTCCTGTATTCAGACAATATTCACCTATCCTGGAGACAACCACCGCCATCCCACCAATACCGGTTTTTCGGTATCGAGTACCAATACCGGTGCTTCCGCTGGCATGGAATCAGGAAGCTGGGAGGCGGGTCATTAATCACCGCCTCGCTTCCTGATCGCACGGGAAGCTGGCTCCATGTTCCCCTACGGCACTGCCGGTCACAGGAAAACTTCCTCTGACCGGAAGTCCTGGTATCAGGGAAGGTATCGGAGCATTTGGAGTACTCTCCCAAATACTTGGTATCGGCACCGATGCCAATACTAGTATCGGTGCATGCCTTGTTATAACGAAGCTTCATAGTCACCTGACTGCGCTATAGCTTCACTTCAGTGACCCAGGAATGGCAGCTGCTCAAGGAAAATGGGAAACTACATGAAGGCTGCAGAACAGCGGTGGTATCGGGGCTCAGCATGCCCACTGGGCCCCTTTACAGCATCTTTTTGCTTTTATCTTTCTGGATTTTAGCATTTTGTATTTTTCTGTGTACTTTATTGTAACTCACCGACTATGAAAAGAGATCTGTTGTGGCAAAAGGGAATGTCAGAGTGAAAGTGTGTGATTCAGAAAAACTGTGATCAATCAACAAAATGGTTCTTTAACTACTTCAGGACCGCCCGGACCGCCCACAGTCAAAAAACATCCTGTACTGAAGTAGTTATACCAAGAGCACGGCAGCAGACGGCCCCTGACAGATCGGATGGAGATCAGCAAGCTTCTAACCACTGACCTCTCCTCCGATCACTGGACCTGGAAGTGATGTGTATTACATCACTTCCAGTGTCACTGTTTACATTCTCTGGCTTCCGCAGCCAGGAGAAGACGCTGGTGAAGTAGATTGTTGGTTTGTCCGCTTCTTTGGGGTCCCTAGGTGACATTAGGGGTCTGAAAGACGCCTGACATCTCCACATAGAGGACCTGTCACATCATATTTGCTACAACATAGAGGGCTTATTAGCCCCCTATGCGATAGTAATAAAGTTGAGTGTTATTAAAAAAAGAAAAAATGCAAAACAAAATCCCCCCCCCCCCCCCCGTCCTGCAAATCCATATTCACCTAGACCCAATGGATTTGTCTATTGTTTAAATCCAGTGCCACAATGCTCCTCTGCTGGAAGATAAACATGGCCAGTAGAGGGAACAGCAGAGCACGTATTCTTTAAATCAGACCTCATTGCAAAAGTCTTGTTTACCAGTGGGGCTACCCGGCACTCCAAGGGATAAATGCTCAATGCTCATTTAGAACACCCCAAAGCATCCTGGGATGTGAGATGTCAGTATGCCAGGAGGCTTCAGGGTGTTTGCTGGCACACGTGGTGCTGCCCATCATCAGCTGTCTGTCTCTTGCTAGTTCTTACAGCTGGCATCATTAGGAAGAAACCAGAAGAGACAACCAGCCCCCTGACAACGTATGTAAATAAGATGGCTGTGCACGGGGACACTGTGGCGGATTGTAGCAGGACAATGCTGGAGTCGCTGGACATATGATTTCAGGATAACTAGAGATTTTAAAAAATAAATAGATAACGGGGGGGGGGGGGGGGGTGAAGTTTCTTTTTAAAGCCAACATGTTACTTTGCTCTGAATGGACAACTCAACATCTTGTTTAAAAGGAATCCTGCAGAACTCTGGGCACACATTTTATTAACCCTTGCAGTAGGGCTACCCCCATACTGCCAGGGTTCACTGCTCCTTTTTGTCTAGGTAAAAAAAAAGTTACACTCACCTGATCCTCTGAGCCGGCTTGGTCCCTTCTGCCACTTTCCACACCCCCCTTGAACTGCAGCGGTCTAAGGTCCCCGAGTTATCACATTCTATATACAGTTTATAGGATTTGAGGATGCTGAGAGACATTCCATCGCTGCAGTAGAGGAGTAGACAGGAAGGGAGCTTGCCGGCTCTGAAGATAGGGTGAGTATACCTTTTTTTTTGTTTAACCTGGATACAAACGAGCAGTTAACGCTTGTAGTGCGGGGGTAGCCCCACTACAAGCGTAGACCTTCTGAAAATGCAAGCTGTCTGGCTATCTGCAGCTTCAACATTTTCAGATCCCTGACCAAGAAGAAGCACGCAGCAAGAAGAGTCAAATCTGAGCTGCAGGCTCTCAGTGCCTTGGTGCAGACAAGGGATCAGCAAGGAGAAGATAGTAATGACAGCCTAATGTACAAGTTTGACTTCAGGTGAGCTGTGCGATAAATGATTCATGATTATATCAAATGTATAAACATTGAATTTATCAATCAGCAAACAGCAAGGACTTCACTAATCCTGACACTGCCCCAGGGACTGCTGGCATAAGCTGAGCCAGGCTGGGGTCCTTCATGTCTGGTGGAAGCCCAGATTCCAGCATGCTCTCTATGGACAGTCATGTGTCATTCACCCTAACTCATGTCCCTAGACACTGTCACACATATCTGACAACAGTCCCCTTACCTCCAATGCGCGTGTCACCCGCAGGCTCCTCCCACCACTCGTCTCCCAATCCATCTGCCATAACGGAACCTCAGCCTCTGCCTTCGGTACAGATCCACAAACTATCAACAGTGCCTACAGAACTAGTTCAAATCCAGAGCCACATGTGTAGGCGGAGCTACGTAGCCAAGCCTCGGTCTGACTCTGAACCACTCCCATACCTTATGTTGATTGGATGCTAGTTTAATGTGATCCTTTTTTTTTACCCAACAGCTTTATTGTTTTCAAAAGAACATAAACAAGCGTGTACGTTTGATGTTGCTGCATTTAGTGTAAATAAAATGTTGGTAGTTTCATGTCTTTGGCGTCCAGTGACGCAGTATGGTCTTCTTTCTGCATAGTGCTGCTTAAAGTGCAACTAAATACTTTTTTTTTAAACTTTTGAATAGATTTGAGTTGCTGTCGGTGTTTTTCCGGTGGCCGGGCCGAGCTGTCTCGGATCGCGGCTGGCCGCCGGGCCGAGCTGTCCTGGACTACCGTAAGGCCGAACTGACCCAGATCGCAGCCCTCTCTTCAGGCATATCAGAGGGCCCTCTGATGTGCTTGAGCAGAGAGCTGCAGCTGCCAGTCTCTCTGACCCTCCTGTAGCCTGCACTGCCCCCTCCAGCCTGGACTGACCCCTCTGGAGCCCACACTGACCAACTGAGAGCCCGCACTGACCCCCCTGGAGCCTATGGTACTGACCACATGGAGCCCGCACTTATCCCCTGGAACCCGCTCTGACTGCCTGGAGCCCGCACTGACCACCTGAGAGCCCGCACTGACCAACTGAGAGCCCACACTGAACGCCTAAGAGCCCTCACTGACCGAAAGTATCACTCACTGACCACCTGTAGCCTGCACTGACCGCCTGAGAGCTCGCACTGACCACCTGAGAGCCCGCACTGACCACCTGAGAGCCCACACTGACCAACTGAGAGCCCACACTGAACGCCTGAGAGCCCTCACTGACCGAAAGTATCACTCACTGGCCACCTGTACTCCGCACTGATCCCCTTAGAGCCCGCACTGACCAACTGAGAGCCCGCACTGATCGTCTGGAGCCCTCACTGACCGAAAGTATCACTCACTGACCGCCTGTAGCCCGCACTGACCGCCTGAGAGCACGCACTGACCACCTGGAGCCCGCACTGACCAAAAGTATCACTGATCACCTGTAGCCCGCACTGACCACCTGGAGCCCGCACTGACCGTCTGGAGCCCTCACTGACCAAAAGTATCACTGATCACCTGTAGCCCGCACTGACCACCTGGAGCCCGCACTGACCGTCTGGAGCCCTCACTGACCAAAAGTATCACTGATCACCTGTAGCCCGCACTGACCACCTGGAGCCCGCACTGACCGTCTGGAGCCCTCACTGACCAAAAGTATCACTGATCACCTGTAGCCTGTACTGACCGCCAGAGAGCCGGCACTGACCACCTGGAGCCCTCACTGACTGCCTGAGAGCCACACTGGCCACCTAAGACCCTGAACAGCCTCCTGAGAGCCTGCACAGCCCTCCTAACCCCCACGCAGCTCTCCTGAGACATCAGGCCACGAAACCAGAGCAACACAGTATGTAGCTTCATATTATTCTGCATTGCTGTATGAAGTATTGCTGGGATTTGTAGTCCTCTATAGCTGATGGTATTCTGCATTGCTGTATAATGCATTACTGGGATTTGTAGTCTTTCTACAGCTTGGAGTCAGTGGCAGAGCTACCAGGGTTGCAGCTGCAACCGGGCCCTGGCACTCCAACACTGACTCCAAGCTTTCGAGAGACTACACATCACAGCCCAGACAGGAGGAAGAGAGCCCTGGTGACCATCGCCATACCATAACAAGGCCCACCAAAACAGACAGAACAGAACAGAGCCCAGAAATACCATAGGAATACACTGGGATACATTTCATGTGCGTACAAAAGCTGTTCTGGTTTGGACATGGTGTGAACAAGACCTAAGGGCCCATTCACACCATGTCGCCTACTCCTACATATATGCCGGCTGCAGCTCCTTCCTCTTCCTGGTCAACATGCTGTGCAATGTATTGGTGTGTGTGACTTCCATCCAGATGCACTGGCAGTTATGCGCCGGACCTCTCTGGGAAACCGGCACTCAAATCTCTGACTTCAGGCAGTGGAGATGCTTCCACAGGACCCCAGGGCTGAGATCCAGTTGATCATCATGTTTATCGATACCTCCAGGTTGGTGAGTCCGGGGAAGTGCAGCCTATAAGCTCCGTGCAGGGTTATGTCTCTAGAGCGGGGCAAGCTACAGAGCCCTGCGGCCAAGGCAGAAGGTTGGTAACTGCAGAATTAGAGGGCCCAGCATATGAAGGCAGAAGATCGTTGTTGCAGCTGCAGAACTAGAGACTAGCACAGCATGGCAGGGCAGGAGAGAATGGTTAGTGTAGTTGCAGAACAAGGGAGCCCATCAAGCCAGGAATGGAGAAGGTGGCTATTGCAAAAATAGAACTAGAGCGTCACCCTATGTTGATAGCGCAACCTGTCGGAAATCTAGATACACCGTGCGTACTGAATCCCGCGACTGACAGGTTATGTAAAATGTCTTAAACAGGAAGGGGTGGCACTGATTTAGATGAGGGATGGGGGGGCAGGGTGCTCGGGTTTAGTCTTGCCTAGGGCAGCACAAAACCAAAATACACCACTGGGTGTAGTATGGCGACTTGGCACCCAGGACTCTCCGCCAAAGGGGCTGAGAGGGTCCAGAATGTGAAACATGTTATAAGGAAGAGCCTGGCTTTTCAGGAGTAGAATATGTAGAGACACGGGCACTCTAAATGGTGAATCAAATACGTCTGTTTATTGACGTACGAGCAGCATAACGTGATGCCATTCAACCTTCTCACTGCTCCTTATTTCTCTTGATTCACAATGACAATAAATAATTTGACGTCCTTTACCATATAGTGCTTCATGTTCACATCATTACTGTTTCGTATAGCAATGGTGGCATACACTTTACTTACAGAAGATATGCTCAGATCTTGGTGGGAGGCCATATACTAAGGCAGGGAGGAAGAAGTGTAAGTATCAAGGTTTTGTTTATGGCAATAAATTCAGTGGGGGCAATTGATCAAATCTGGAGCAGTTCCTTAACCACTTCCAGGCCACAATACGTGTATAGACAGCGGCCCATTAAAGTGGTTAAAACAAGAACACGGCTGCTGCAGTTTTTGGTACCGCTTTTAACAGCAGGCGATTCCTGTTAATGTATAAGCGATCCGGCGTCTGTAAAGCCACCGGATCGTTTGTACCGCGCGGCGGCGTCCCCCTACCGCGGCTGCCGTTGTCTTCCCCGGGCACCACTGTCCCCGTGCGGCACCCGGAAGCAGCTCGGCGGGTCTCCCCAAAGTGATCGGAGAGAGATTCAGCGGCTTCCATCCGCTGATATCTCCTCCAATCACTGGACCCGGAAGTGATTTGTATTACATCACTTCCGGCGTCACTGTATTATTATTATTATACAGGATTTACATAGCACCAACAGTTTGCGCAGCGCTTTACAATATAGGGCAGACATTACAATCACAATACAATTCAAGACAAGATGGTAAGGAGGGCCCTGCCCCTGAGGGCTTACAATCTAAAAGGGAGGGGGAAGTGATGCATGAGGAGGGAGCTGCGTGGGGATGAATTGTTTGAGAACGTGATAGTCGAGCGGTTAGGTTGAGGTGCGATAGGCTTCCCTGAAGAGATGAGTCTTTAGGGATCACCTAAAGGCAGTCAAGGTGGGCGACAGACGGACAGGTTGGGGTAAAGAATTCCAGAGGATGGGAGAGACTCTAGAGAAGTCCTGGAGGCGAGCATGGGAGGAGTTGACAAGGGAGCTGGAAAGCATGAGGTCTTGG